CAAAGCCAGAATCTGAAAATCTGCTTTCAGATTTCAGCATCAGAATTTTTTCAGGCTACCACGCTACCACCTGAAAACTGCAATGAACTAATTCTTCAAATAGCTTGGATGCATACACTTCAGAAATTTTCTTACATCATTTTAGTAAGAATTTGACCCATAATCTTATCAAGCTTGTGTTACGATTTAGAAGTACTGATAAAATACATTGCTGAGTTTCTCTTTGGGCCTTGTTGCTTTTTTCTTATTAAAAAATAATTGTTGACTGTCTTGTACTATCCTGTGATCTGAGCTCAGTCAGGCTGATTAGCAGTGACAGCATGTCAGAGGTCATTACCATTAAACACACCTCAGTGAACAATTCAATGGAGTTGTTATTCCATCAGTGCAGTCCTCACAGGTGGTTTGAAGAATTGCAGGGGATGAACTCCAGATCACTGTGGGCTGTAACCTGCATGCCTGAGCACCCTCTGCTGCTCTGCACTGGCTGGCCCCGAGCAGCTCCACATGGCCCCACAGTCCCAGAGGACTCATCCAGTGCAGCCATGCTGCTGGAAGAAGCAACACCTGAGCATCTATAGCCAATCCTTGTGGTTCATCTGGGAGAAACTAGAAACAAGGTTCTAGCTTGGTAGAACCTTGGTATTTTCAGCTCAGAGATTATGGCTTCAATAAGCCCACTGTCAAAGGAAACATATCTGTGTGTGTGTGTTCTATATGTAAATAAATTTTATATATAGTATATATGTAAATAAATAGATATAATTTAAGTGTATATATGCGTGTGAGTATGCCTGTATATGTATTATATATGTATTTATATACACAGACATCCATATATGGATATTCACATTTATATAGGTGCATATATCTATAATGCTCACACAGACATCTGTATTTTAATACATATGCACATAGATTTTCTTGACCATTTCTTTTCATAAATAGGCTTTAAGTTTGTTCTCCCATTTTCACTCTGATTCATATTGGCAAGAAATGTGTTTGTATGCCTGTTAGTCTGTACAGAGAGGGAAGACAGTGTGTGTGTGTACACATGCAAGCACATATTTTGCACACAGTCTCAGCTGACTGTAATCCATAGGTCACCACCTACACCACAAACAGAGATGCATTTCTCTATCAGCAGGTCCACTTTCACACATCCACACACTTCACACAATGGCATAAAAGCCATTGCAACCTGACTAGGTCAGCAGCATTTTGGTCTTCTCTCCCCTTAAACAGATGCTGAATTCCTTGCAGTCTGGGGGAACAATCCTGAAGGTTCTAGGTGGACTGCTTGCAGTCACCCACTTTCTAACAAATACCTGAGCGGAGCCTTCTCCTCTGTCAAGGTTTTCAGTAAGTGCAGTTCTGTGAGTGCTGGTAATTTATCAGGAGCTATAGCTTCAGGGCCAGGATGACAAGTGTCCTACAACAAACAAGCACAGTCCAATTTGGCCTAACTAAAATTGCCAATGTTCCTTCAGAGTGCTCCTACGTAGACTGGCACCAAGCATAATTATTTTATACGCATCCACGCAATGCTCTGAGTGCTCCTCCCAAATCCCCAGTCTCTCCTTGACAGCCCCAAAAGCAGCCCTGGGAGAAGCAGCATCTCCCATTCAAGGAAAAAGCATCAGGGTGGCTCAAGTGGAACAAAAGTAGCTGCAAGATGGAAGAGTGAACGAAAGCACCCAAGCAAGGACGGCAACCTATGCTACAACAGCACAGAAACACCTAAAAAAAAATCCTATCTCCCACTTCCACGCTACAAACTTACTCTCTGCTTATTAAAAGTGTTTCAGTGGGAAAAATAAAATTACTTTAAAAATTACCATGGGGCTGAATTTCAGACGAGGGAGAAATTCAGCCTATTAATCATTGAGTTAATCTATTTATTCACCTTGGAAAAATCCTGATCAGGAGAAAGTCTATTAAAAGAATACAGGGATTCAGCTACCACTGTGCTCACTGAATAGTCAATTGGAAAATGCCCCTTTGAACCCTGTGTTAATAAAATTCTCATTAAATGCAAAATGCAAACCTGCACAATGTTATCTTGAAGAGGCTCATTAGTTTAAAAAAAAAACTTGTCTCAAAATGTGTTTACTTCCTCGTAGGTGAGAAGGTGAGTTTTCAAACCACCAACTGCTGCACCTTCCTATTTCAACCTCATCAGTGCTGCAGCTGTATCTCACAGTCTATCATATCTCAATTATTTATGAAAACCACAGAGACAAATCCACAGTCAGAAATTATAATGACTATTATGAGATAGGACAGCAATCAGAATCACTCATTCCGGTTTGGTATGTAAGATTTTCAGACAGATAAGGATATTATTATTCTTTCTTCTTCAATTTTTCATTTTCTTTGGGTTGGACAGAAATTATGAATTATCTGTAGAAAGGATAATAGAAGGCAGGAATAGCCTCCCTATCTCTTAATACTCAAAAAGAATATTCATGTCTGCTTTTTTGACTGGAGTAAGGACAACAAAATTCAAATAATCAGCAACAACAAAACTCAGACTGTCTGCTGGAGAATTTTTAGTCCAACTAAAAGGTGCTGTTCATACCATAATAGGACACACAAAGCGGGATCTCTCTGCAGCTGAGTTTAAAGAAGAACATGTCTAAGATTCTCGAGGCATTACTCATCCTGTCTATTTAAGCAATTACTCAGCAGAGCTCATCAGTCCAGCACTGTGGGGTACAGCAGGACTGTTTTGGTGTCTCCTCAATAGCTACTCCTGTAACACAAATGCATTGCAGCCTTGAACTTGGTAAACAACTTACCTCTCCTCCCCCGGCACAAATGCACATAAAATTGTACACTAGGATTTAAGACACTTGTTAAAGCCCACTGTATGCATGCACAGGCAGATGCTTTTATATTTCTAAAACCCACTAAAAGCCCTAGGATAGGGAAATTGCAATGTTTATTTATTTTTAAATAGCTTGTGCAATGAGACCAAGATATAAACCAAAGCATGACTTTGCACTGCACAGTTACAGCAAAAAGCAGGTAATCACCGCTCATAAAAACTTCAGAGAATGATGAAGCAAGGTGAGGAAAAAATCCTGTGCGGATTTCTCTAAATTCCTTTCCTTCATGGCAAAAGCATCCAAATAAGACACTCTAAGGGAAAACCAAAGGGGCACACACAAACAGGAAGTCCAGATAATGGGGAGCTAAGCCAGCTTCTAGTCCCAGTCACCTCTTTGAACCATCACACTGCCAAACACCTTCACAAAAGGACACTACCTTTGGACCTCTCTGGCTGCTCTGCAATCTATTCAGCTAAAGAATCCTTCAAACATAGTATTTTTACCACCAGAAGAAAACAAACCAGAAGGCAAAACTCTCTTCCTTCCCTTGTTTGAGAACAAGGAAATGGGATCAATCAAACAAACTTCTCAGAACTCTAATCCCTTCCAAGGCCTTGAATCATCTGTAATTTAGACCTTTACTGATTTCACTGAATGAAAAGCAGTCATTCATGAAATTTCAATACAGATGAGCAGTTAGGTGGAGCACAGGAACGCTACCAGAAGTCCAGAAGAGAAACAGACTAGAGGCTCCACTGATTCCAGACGTCACCATCTTCTGAACATGTCTGATACAGGTTGTCCTTGAAGGCATATCATGTTCACACCATAACAGGACACACAAAGTGGGTTTTTTTGCTGGTTTTTTGATTGCATCTTGTCTCAACTGCATGCTGATCTTCACAAAAGCAGTTGCAAAGCCAACAGGAAATAAGCCCATGCAAAGTGGGTTCCACAAACCAGAGGTGAGCACAAACTCTGTGATCACTTGGTTTTTCTCCCTTGCAAGGGTAGACTTCTACTCGCTGGTTGTACAGAGCATTCCCAGAACAGGCACTTTGTCACATTAAGTGACATTAGTCAACAGCCACCTGTTCTGCTGCTTCACTCCAAGTGCACTATCTACCCACACATGTTCACCTACATCTGTTTAAAAAAACCCAAAATAAGGATAGCATCAAAGTAAGTCTAGAATCATATATGATATTATCAAGCTTACAGACTTTTTAAGGGAACCTTTAAGGTGGTTCACAGACATGTAAATGTATATTGACTTGAAAAATGCCCTCAGGGAGTTTGTCCTACACAACGTCTTTTGTAGTGAGGAAAACAAGGAGTACTAGCAATGCAGCTTTACTGAGCTACTTGCTGTTGCACAGACACCAAGTGCCTGGGGTGACTAGGGAAGCGATATACAGATTTTTTTCTCAGTACTTTTATCTTTTATGGTTTGTTTACAGGCCAGAACTAAAAAGTAAATTTTCCCTCTCACCATTCCTCTGTTTTCCAATCAATCATGTCCATGATCTTCTTGCCCAGTACCCAGCTTGGTCACTAGTAGCTGCTTTAGGTGCCAGAAAAATAAATGATTGCCACTGTGAAAGAATACATACCTAGATTTACACTCCTTAGCCTTAGAAGTAAAGCATAACTTCTCCCCTTCTGCCCTTGAACAGGAAGTGGAGGTTTAAGAGAACATTGAAATGTCCTTAAATAATCAGTTTTAAACATACAGAAATCTTGCAATGTTAAGAGGCCTCAAATCTGCTTATTACAGCAGGCTTACAGTCCCTTCATAACTTTGTGGAATTGCTATAGAACCATGCAACAGAAATCCATTAGGTTCACAACTGCTCTGCCAGCACAGCATTATTCTCTACTGTATAACCTCTCCCAAGAATGATATGAGGATTAATTCATTACAGTTTGTGCTATGCTTTGAAAGCACTCAGTCTGCAGAAGAGCTGAGAGAATTACTAGAGGACAATCAAACCCTGGTGATCATTCCTTTATGCCCGCCAGCCCTGTGCAGAGTAACAACTTAGCCCAACAAGTAGAACAAATTCAAAACAAAATTCATTAAAACAAATGTGTAATGTCATGATAAAAATGTAGTCACACAGGAAATGAGAAACTTTAAAAGAGCAATTAATTTCTACTCCTTACCTAATATTGACTAATGCATGGGTCACCTTGCTTGCAGGCTCTTTCCATTGTCCAGCATTGGTAGACAGCCTCAGAACTGAAAGGAGAAGACAGTTGTGCTGGCACAGAACTAGCAATTTCATAATTCAAACCAGGAAAAAAAAAATCTGCTTTGGAAAGATGGCAGTCCAGGAGCCACATCAAAACAAAGGTCATCTTTAAGAATCTGTGATCCAGAGTAAGAAATTCCCTTCAAAGCCCTTCTAAGAAACATAAGGAACACGGAAGGGGTGAGCCAAACAGAATAATGACTTGAGCCTGAGGGGATGGGAGAACCTGGGTCCTCCAAGCTGCTTTCACTATCACACAGACAGCTCATTTTCCCCAGAAACAGAGCAGCATCCCAAGCCTAGAATAGCTCTTATTCCACACACAGCTGTTCTCCTCCAGCTCCTGGTAACACAAGGCTCCATCTGAACTGGACTACATACTGCAGTTAAAACCCTCTCCAGCAATGAAGAATTCTTCCCATGCCCATTTATCTAGAGCTGCAGAGAGGAATTACACACCAGTGTAAAGAAAAAACACTGCCTGTAGCAAGAAGGGTGGTGTTCTCCTGCACAGATGGTCTCTGACAGACTTAAGAGCAGATCTGAAAACATTCTGCAACAGGAAGACCTTCTAGGGAATCCAATTCTTTTTGCCAGAGTACCAAAAATATTTATTTAGGTCAAAACATGTAGTGTTTTTATGGTGGCAGTTACTTGCACAACTCTTGGTAAGCATCAAAACAATAAAAGATACTGCAGCAGATGTTTTAATTTCCCTCCATCTTGCCTAAACAAAGGGAATTTTCTATGAATTTGTACATACAGGGTTTCTGGAGGTTAGACTCCATAAGAAAGGTTCACCCTCAATTTAGAAGTGAAGGAACAGCTCACCATCCAAATTTAGGATCATCCAGAAACATGGATTTTACAAGTGAGTGCTTAAACACAGTGGCTGCATACTTATGTCTGTAACTGAAGGACAGAAACTTTCAGTCCTGCAGATCTGGATAAAGTTTAGTTACAGAACAAGAGAAAAAAAACAAGTCAATTAGATTCCACTTCCACTCCCAACATGGAAAGTTTTGTCCACATTAACAGAAAAATTAAAGGACTGAGTAGCTTTCTCTATCTGTGCTAATACCCAAAGGCTAGAGGACAGAAGAATCACTGTCGTCTCAGAGATGGGCTGATAAGCAAAGGGAAGCTATCAGGACACCTGGTAGCTTTCATTAACTTGAGACAGTGCTACCTTGCTACCTTCTCACCTTCTATTCCACCATTACATGTCATCTGCAGAAAAATGTTGTCATCTCTGAGTAACATTGTTTTGTCAAACAGTAGGTACTGTACAGGAATATCTGAAGTAATATATTCAGTTCAGGCATTTGCAAGAGTAATTCAATGGGGTTTACTCTACACAGGAGGATGGCAAATATTCATGTGATAAATTGTTTCAACAGCTCAGTTGTGCCTTTTGCAACCCAACTGAGGAAGTATTTGACTGCATTATTCTTCTACTCCACTTAATTTCAGCTTCTACAGGGGATGGGTTTGAAAAAATTATTACCTAGTAAAAGCACCTCATCTTACTAGTTGCAACTCTTGGGAGTAGAAAATGGATTAGCAAAAAACCTCATGCACTCAGAGGGCACAAAAATGGCCAAGCAGTCCCTTATGTAACAGCTGAAAACACTGGGAAATTTATACAAAAGGGCAGTTTGTTTCTGCTTGCAGTACAGGGGGTACTCGGCTACTTTCATTTAGGTGAGGATGTCTCTCCCCCATGTCAGAAGAGGGCTGTGGCCCAACTGTCTGCCCTTTAACTCTCCTTATACGCTTATTTAATTCCTGTTGTTCGTTGGGTGATCACACTGAGAAGGGAGCAGAGGGTGAAGGATTGGAATGAAGCAAACAAAGAACAAAGCCATATTCTAACTCTCCTTATACGCTTATTTAATTCCTGTTGTTCGTTGGGTGATCACGCTGAGAAGGGAATGGAGGGTGAAGGACTGAAAGGTCCTTTTGGAATGAAGCAAACAAAGGACACAGCCATATTCTTTTTTTCACAGCTTCAAGCATGCAGCACACCAATGCTGCTGCAGCTACCCTGGGCTGCAGGTGCCAGTGTGTAACACTGACTGATTATGCCTCCATGCATTCCTTGCTTTTCTTTGTTCCTCTTCCCTGCTGGGTGTCACTTGGCTCCCTTCCCTCTCTCTTGAAGGATGGCAGCTTCTCCCTGTTTTGCCAGGGGGCACATTCTTCAGTCCAGCGACTCACTCGTCACTGCAAGCAGGTTTGTGAGAGCTGTTTTCCTGGTTGCTTTGGCAATGAGTGAAGTAGATGTGATTTGTCTAGCACAGCAAGCTTCTTGCTGTAAGTTTCTCAAATTATTTTCCAAATTCTTATTTGCATTCAGTGTTTCTCTATGCTGGGTGGTTCTGCAGCATGTACCTGCTTTTTGACTTGAAATTGTCAAATGTAATAGAAGAAAACCACACAAAATGCATTAAATACCACACACTCCATTGTGACAATAAATTTATATTTCCAACATTAAGTGACAGAGGGAGAGGCAAGGAGCCTGTCTGTATTTTTTGTGACATTAAAAAAAACTTCTCCTTTTAATAAGTTTATCCCTCTCTCAAATCTTAACTTACCAACATGCCCTAGTACACAAAACATGCTCACCCAGCACAGCACACATCAGTGGCAGGTATTCAGGAAACACCTGACGCAAACATCCCTCTTGCACCACCCTCACTTCCAGGCAGCAGCAGTCCTGACGAGTCAGGAGGTACTCACCCATAGAATAAAGGTTGTCAAAACTCTGGTGCATGCGAATGATTTCATAGTACAGCTCATCATAGCTGCTGGGAGTGGGCAGAAATGTGTCTCCGTAAGTGATGAACATGTTGAACAGGTTCACAACCTATACAAGTGAAAAGAAGTTGCAACAGCAACATTTATCCCAAATCTTTCTGCAACAGAAGCAATACACATTATGTCCAAAACCTTCAAATTAATAGCTTGCAGTTGCAGCAGATTTTCCTTATAGTACCAAAGACAGACAAGAAGCTTAAATACTGTTTTATCTAGGGCCAGAAACATGTTTCTATTTTGCATATAAAGGACCACAGAACAACAACAAAAAAAAAAAATTAACAAATCTGGAAAATTAAACTAGGCTTTTCCTCACACAGACTTCTTTATTTCAATGAGCCAACCCTATAGTGAGTCCAAGCACTGCCCTTTCCAAACACCTAGTGAAACCAACCATGATATTCCTCTGCTTCACGGCCTTGTTCTCATATCTCCTAATATTAATTCACAATTAAGTTGTTAAAATTAAGAGGATTTGTGCAAGGGTAAAGATGCTCACCATAAGAGCAAGGGTGAAGATGTTGTGCTTGGCCAGCAACACAGTCTCATTAGACATGAGGAACTTCAACAAGTTGATCAAAGCTAGGAGAAAATAATAAGTACTTTTTAAATACTATAAAAAGCAAAGCCATTCTCAACAAGTCACTTATATACAGATGCATTTATACTGTCTACTGTAAATTAAACTAAGTGCCAGCTATTCACCTCAGAAATATATCAATTTAGATGTAGGGTTTGGCGGTGCTTTTTGTTACTAAAATACCACGCCAAACAGGTAAGTGACAGCTATTTTGCCTTCCCACATTTATTCTCCTTCACTGACTTCCCAATCAAATCTACTCAGGCTCAAGGTATATCTCTTGTTAACTCAGGCAGTTCAAGATTTTTCTATCTGCTGGATCCTGGAGTGAGCTTTGGGGTTGGAGAATCTAACTGTCTCGTTTCTGCTTCATGTATCACCAACACGATGTATGCACAGTCAGCCCCAAACTGTCACTCTTGTTGATACCCGCAGTTATAAAAAATAAAAAAGGTAAGAAAACCCCCCCAGCACAGCTTTTCTGTAGCTCTGTGTCAATGCTGCTGCAATGGTAAAAAGAAGGATGTAGTACTTTATTGTGTCAGTTATCTGGGGCTGTGCCGTAAAGATTACAGATCTGGTTCACACTTGTCTTAAATAATAAAACAACAAAAGCTGCTGCTGTAACCACCCAGTATCAGTTAGTAACAGTGGTAATTAACAAAAAGGTTGGCTAAAAATGCTTTAATCAAACAGACTTTACAATAAACAACTGCATTTCATGCACTTGAATAAAATGTAAAGTTTCTTATCCTTTTTGTTTCCTAGCTGTTGAAATTTTCAGAAAACTAGTTTCTTCTGCATTATAGCTGTTCAGGAGTGAAAGCTGATGCCTGACTAGAAGAGGTTCTTCATGTACTCTCTGCTCTGAAGTCAACACATTTCAAGACTTAAAACATCTGAATTAAGATGTCCTGAAAAGTCAATGCTGGAACACTGTACACCCCTTTTTAAAAGGTTCTTAATTATCTACTAATTAGTAACTTCATCCAACAGAACAATACCACGCATTGCTCCTATTTCTTACAGGCACAAGTAGAACTTGTTAATCCATTTTTCCCCCCACCATTACACATGTGTCACACTCTATCCAGTAACTGGTGAGAAAATAAACTGTGGTTTGGGAGAACTCCACAGTGAATGCAGAAAAGACCATTCAGCCCAAGCTACAGGCTATGAAACAGGAAGAGATAAAGCACAGGGAACAGCAATGAGGTATGGGTAGAATTTAGATACTCACCCCTTTCAAGATTACAAAGTAATGACAAAAGGTAAAATCAAAATACCTACAGCAAAACCATGCAAACACACTGGTCAGATCTTGAATTAAACAAAACTGTCAGATTCTGAATGCAGTCCTGCAACCTCTACTCCACAATACTAGAAGTTCACCATGAGTATCACAAGTTTACACATGCACACCCAAAGGGAAGCCTGCAGCCCCACAGTGGGTATTTACTCATCACAGGCAGAAGCTACTTCTGTCTAATCCTCCAGCAGGTGCCTGATGCTGAACTGAAAACCAAGAATGAACAAAATTCCCTGCAAACTCCAGACATGCAAGTGATGTATCTTTCAGAGCTACTCCAGGACTAACCATCAGCAATAGCATTTCTCCCTTCCATGTCAGCAGCTCACCTCATGAAGCAGATAGATTAACACCTTTTCAATCCAGCCACATAACTCTCCATACCATCATCACCCCATCATCACACAAACTCCTGGGACCAAAAGCAGAGCCTGGATTCCACACTAACACAGCTCTGAAAATATCCCTGTCAGTTCTTTTCCTGCAAAACAAACGTTTCAAAACAAAGTAGCAGGTACAGATGGGCTCTCCACCAGAGCAAAGATCCAGCTAAAACCAGGTTGCCAAGGTAACCAAACCTCCACAGCAAAAAAGTCTCCTGCAGTCAGCGCCTTGGACTGCAGACAGCTGCCCTGCATCTCTGTCACAGCAGCTCATGGGCCATTTCTCCATCTCATAATTACAAGCTTGATTTTACCTCCTTCCCAGCCACAAAGTCCACAGGGCCACAGCTCATGACCAGGTGCTGCTGTTCAATTACCAGCAGCTGGGGTTTGTGGAAGCAAAGTAGCAGAGCTCTGGATTTCCTATGACAAGTTGTGAAGAAGCCTCATGTTCATTTTTTTGCCTCTTACCCTCCCACAAGAGCCCTGCTGAATGGCCTTTGTCAGCCGGTCATGGCATAGCGTGACAAGAAGCCACCACCAACCATCCAAAAACAGTGACTATGACAGCTGTCCGTGGGGAGGAGAAACCATTTTTAAAAGAACAAGTGTATTTGTCCAGAGCACAAGCACCCACCAAATGGCAAGGACAAGCACTCTACAACTGCCCACTTCAGCACTTCTCATGGACCACCCTGAAGCACTTGTACTGCTCTCTATTGGTGACAACACTTGAAGGAGAACTTTCTCTCTTCTACATTTGTTTCAGCCATTGTGACGAATGTATGTTTAATTTTCCTGCTTCAGTTAGAAAGAAGACAAAAGATTAGCTCTGCTTGAAATCAGTATTTATACCTGAATTGCACTGAATCATAGCCCACTCAAAACTATCTGTGCTGTTCCTTCCTTAAGAACTAGGAAGGAGAGGGACATGCTTCACACGAAGAAGAAACTGAGTGTGGGCTCAGAGCCTGGTCAGAAGAACTAACCCATCAGAGGTCTACAGTCACTGTGTGCCCTGCACTGAAAAATTTATCTGCCAGGAAACCACATATTCCTAAAAAAGTTGCAGTGTTCCTAACTGGGATATACACTACATCAACATTAAAAGAGCAAACAATCTTTTTCCACAGCAGCACATTCTACAGCAGCCTCTACTCAAGTGCCTCTAAGGACCACAAATACCATGGAACCTTTAAATCCCTTTGCCATGTCTCTGTAGTTTGTAAGGCAGACCCTGTACAGAAAATTAGGACAGCTATGCCCTGAAGTTTTCAGAACTAGCAACTTTTAGATCTGGCTTCATATGCCAAGTGCCCTTCAGCAACAATTACACACACAAAATAAACCTTTAGAGGAAAGTCCAACTGACTGAACACCCCTCTGCCCTTGAGCTCCAACAGAGCACTGATGCTACGATTCCTAAACAATCTGAAGCCAAACCAGATGTGTCACATTTTCCCTGCTGCAATCAACTGTTCGCCTCTCACACCCCACCTGCAGACTGCCCTCTCTAGCCAGGAAATTATCTTTTTTTTTTTCCCCCAGCAGAGGAGCAATTCAGTCTCCCAGCTGCACAGGCAGACACAAATGTGTTCCCTGGGTTCAGCCACCTTAGCCCAAATTATGCTCCAGGATTTAACAGCAATGGATGGTTTGGGTATGAGATCCATTTCAACATTAACTGGAAAACAGCACCATTTTTGCAGTACCCTCTACAGCCTTTTTGTCCTCCCTAAAGATATCTGTTCTTGGCATTCATTAGCAGGACCTGAAACAGCCACTGTGGTGAGTCTTGGAACATCCATAATTTCACAATACAACAGTGTCACTAGGACTTCTTTAGTAATAAAGGGAGAAGGCTGTAACTAAACAAACAGCCACCAGTATGTTCAGGTGACCTGAGCTGAGTATATTGGCTATGCTTCTTAAATCAACAAGAAGAGAACACAGCTTTGGACACCTATGTTTAGAGCCTCAAACCCAAGCAGACAAGCATGCTGAGTGGACACAGAGCCATGTGACAGGCTGTATGTGAAAAGTGGTATATAGCAGGTTGGCTCTTGGACAATTTTCTCTCCAAAGGATTATTATAGCGAAAGGATGAAAAGTGACATCACGGATATCCTCCCTACTTTTTAAACTGAAATGACTGCAGTGGAAGAACCTCTTAGCTCTTCTGCTGCACAGCTACTTTTGAAGACACTTTCCCTTATCAGCTTCTGTAGCCATTCTGTCTGCCAAGGAACAGCAGTACACGTGCTCAGTTATTTGCTGCCCTCCCTCAAGCCGGTCCTCAGTGAGAAGACTGTGGGCAGCCACCATCTCCTCCTTTTCTTCTACCAGGAAGGAGGTAATTCCTGTTACAGTTGCCCTTCACTGCCTCCTTCCCCTACTCCTATTCACATAGCAGACTTACCTTCTCTCCCTGTAAGCCTTGTTTCAAACAGAAGTATATTCAGCCCCAGGTGAATCTGGCTTCACACAAAGTTGTTTTTTTTTTTTTAATTTAGTGTCTCAGTGCTCTCTGTTTGGATCACCTGTAATGCAGGACCATGGAGATAGGCCAAGAGAAAAGGGGGGAACAAAGTAGTAGTATTATCCCCTGGGCAAGTCAGAACGTAGCACAGACTCTGCCAGGAGCATCAGAAGGCTCTGATGTGTTATTGCACAGTGGAGCAAAAGAGAAAAGCCCTGTAACACTCATCAATGAGAGCTGGATGGGTTGAGCACAGTACAAATGCCTCTGTCACTGAATCTGCTGCACTTACAGGTCAAGGATCTTCTAATGGTGCGTATAATGGCCCTTAAGAAAGGAGCAAGGCAGAGAGAGATGTGAGGGCTCCTCAGCTGCAGTACAACATCCATTAATAGGATCCAGTGCTCTACTAAAATTCTCCAATTTTCTACCCTTCAACTTTCAGGGCACACGGGGAAGAACAGTGATTTTCCCATTCCCTCCAGAAGTTACCATTGAACCAACAGTGTATTCAGTGTCCCCCTTCCAGTGTCTCAAATCACAACCCCCTTAGAAGGATCCCCACCCATCTATCACTAGAAGGCAGCTGATCATGACATCTGGGCAATGCTTCCATGCTGCAGAGAAGTCATCTGCCTACAAGTGCACAGTAACCACCTCCTGCAGCCATCCTGTTCACATGTAGATACTCCCAAGGCAAGGTCCACATTACTCACTGTAGCACAAGGTAAGCCAGATTTGGTTAAGGCCTAGCGCAACTAAGGCTGCAACTGAGAATAGAGTGGATTAGATTCTCCATGAAGCAGCACTGGTCCTTCTGTGTTTCAGTTC